TCGGCCCTCACAGCCTGACCCTGTTGCTTTAAGGATGTGCACGTAATTCTCCAAGGGAAGCGTCACAGAGAGTCTGGGCTGCTGTACCTGGGTGCACTTCCTGGCATTTCTCCATCCTGTTCCCTACAGGTGAATATGCCCAGGCACCTCCTTCAGGACCTGCTCCCACTATGCAGTGCTCTCTTCCACCTTCTATCACTAGTACCTTACTAGTACCTTCCGTCAGCGAATATAGTGATCATGTCACAGTGTTCAGTGGCTTGATATAGCACAGAAAGTCATCACTTAACAGCATCAGTGGGTTCTTGGAAACTGCTACTTTCAGCAGAAGGACATAGAACAAAATCAGCAGTAGCACAGGCTAGTTGCTATAAACAAGAGTTAAGTTCCCAGGCGTATTTCTGGTCACAAAACATCACCAAAATTCTAAATAAAGACTAAAACACTTCTGATATTAAAGATTTGAAATAAATGTGAGCCATCCACCTAAGAAAGACAAATAAAAACAAGATAATTATTTGCAGGGTCTCAGGTGGCCAGAGACTGTCGCAGCAGCTCCAGGTTCCAGGCAGGAGCCTGCCCTGGACAGGATGCCACCCTCTCACAGGGCATACTCACTCACACTGGGACCACTGAAACAGCCCACTTGTCTGACATACACAGCTTCGGAATGTGAGAGGAAACCAGAGTACCCGGAGAAAACCCACGCAGACGTGGGGAGAGGAGAACGTGCCAGCTGCATGCACACAGTAGCCCCAGCCAGGAGGTGATTTTGTTTCTCATCAGTGTTATCATGAAATGATATTGTTTGGGGACCTGTTGTACTCTCCATTACATTTTAAAAGAAATTTTGAGGGAGAACCCATGTGTCGTGAGCAGGGCAAACAAGATCAGACATAACCAGGTCCATGAACGTTTGTGTCTTTCCACAAGGTCAGGCTTTTATTGATACTGTTTCCATCATAAAATCCATGTGCTCTATGCAGTTTCCAAGGAGGGACTTCTTAGTACTTTATGCACTTGGTAATCAGAGCTGTGGTCACACAGGCTCAAGCCACTCCACAGGTCAGTCAGTACTGCAAACCATACCTAGTAGTATACTTAATATATAAATGTTTAGATTAAACATTCCACATCAAACAGAGTAACATTTAACATTGAGAGATAAGGGGAGAGGAAAAGGGGTTAATGAACCAGTCCAAGGACAGTGACATGGACAAGGAGAGGGTCCTGGGCTTATCTGGACACACAGCATCATCTTGCATGGAAGAGCCCTTGATTTGGCGGCAAATGCTGGGTGCTGATCATGAGTGACAGCAAGGTGGAGCCTGTCAAGATGTCCATCTCGAGTTGTAGAAGTCCTGTTCATTATGGCCCTTGAGCCCTTTGGTGAGGACGACGGTAAAGGGTTATGCCCTTAATCTGGTTGGGAGTTGTCTCTGGATTACGCAAACATCTAGACCGTGTTGGTTGGATGCCTTTTGAAATGTGAAATGGAGTCATTTTCTAAGATAAAGTCACTTATGTCAAAGGTGCTGTGTACACCATGTAATCCCTGCTGGTAACATTTCTGTCCTTAGGAGATATCTGGGGAGGGAGGAACCCTGTACCTTCATTATTCCTCTTGGATCACCTCTTGCTTCTCGGGCCTGCTGTTAGTTGGCTCCATGTCTCAGGACCTGCATACCCAAGCCCTCACTCCTCTCTCAGCTGCTACGTATGAGGCAAGGAGGTGTTTGGTGCCAGCTTACACTGTTCCAACCTAGCTGGTGTTTCCAAAGGGCCTTTGGGAGCCTCAGCCTGTCCCTTACAATCCTAGCGTCCTGGTGGCAATGTGTGTGAGCTATTCCACACGTGGTCACCGTCACTTCAAGGTAAATTAGTGTCATCAGAAAATTGGGGACCGAGGTCAAGGGCAATTACTGGGTTGAGAACCATCCCTTGGAGGTAGATAGTAATGATGGCAGTTTTGAAGAACGGTTTCAGTGTTTTAACTCCTGTGTTGTAGGTTGAATGGATATTATTGTCCTCATCTCAAAGATTAGGATCTTAAGTCTTAGAAGCTGAAGTGACTTCCTCGGGATAATGAATCCCAGGATGAGATGAGGCCATCCAGACATTCTAGCCTGCACCCTGTGCAGGGCCCTCAGCATCCATCCTCTCTGAGTTTCCGTTGGTTCTATGTTGGCGCAGCTTAGGCTTGTAGGAGTTGTCCTGACCTTCCTGATGCTTGGAGCTGTCCATGACTCATGGGTCATCACAGGGGACGGAACCACAGAGCATAAAGTGAAACCCAGCCGTGCCTAGGGATGAGTCAGCAGTTAGCTTTCTGACTGACAGCCTTGTCTATGCTCAAAGGCACCAGCTCAGTGTCAGCAGGGCCTGACCACTCGCAGACAGAACATTGTGTGGGAGTCAGGGGTTCATGAATGTGTTTGCTTCTTGGTCCTTCAGAGGTAGGCTCTCCCTTAAATGAGACAGTGTTGCCTGCTGTGCCCTTCCTGGGTTTTCAGCCTGGCTCTTCCCTTCTTAGGAAGGTGGCTTTGGGTCAGACCCTGGACCTCTCCTCAGCTCTGAGATGAGGAATAACTATACCTTTCTCCAAGCCATGCATGTGGGTGACAACTGAACTGCCACCATAAACAGTGGTGTCGGCACCCACCGACTGTCCCCCCGCCTGCCCACATGGTCCCCCCGTGAGGACCAGTGGGAAGGAGGATTCAGCAGCAAGTGGACTGTCCAGATTGATTGGGGGTCACCTTTGTATGAAGGCCGAGGGTTCCCTGAAGCTACCTAGAAAGGGGTAGATGGGCCTGCAAACTCCAGAAGACGCCATCCTCCCAGAGGAGAGCAGCTCTTCACTGGAGTGAGCCTCAGTTCCTGTCTATTTTATGTAAGGAGTTTCGGCTTCATGAGTAGCTCGTCTTACTGGTGTAGACCGGCCCTGAGAGCTCGCGTTCTTAGAAGTATTGTTGCGCTCACAGCGATTGCACCTGTGTAGAAGGGCTGCCCTCTGTTGCTGAACCATTACAGGCCCAAATAGAAAACCTACAGCAAGCAAGCCTGTTTATGGGTTGGCCAGTTAATGTCTGCTCATCCTAATGAGGCCACGTTCTGGAATGTTGTTTTGTGGAAAGGGAAGGTCAAGAAGATAAAAGCATTTGATTTGCTGCTAATTTTGCCTAACCCATTGAGCTTTTCCCCTGCCAGGCACATTGGGTTACTGTAAATGTGCTGAGGTTTTCCCAGTCTCTTCCTAGAATAAAGCCACATCCATTCACTTTGGTTCTTTCCTCAACTTATCAATGAAATGCAAGTGGGTACTTCTGAGTTATTTTCTGTTGAGAACAGCATCTCTGCTCCCCCACTCTTCTTAATAGACTCATTAGTTCGGTGGAAAAAAGGGTTGATTTATTCTTGGACTTAGCTCGTATCTTTGTAACTGAGTGGCTCCTGTGAAGTATTACAGTGTATTGCTGGGAAGAATTAGCACTAATAAAGCACTCTGGCTTCTAAAAGTTAACTGTGTGCTTCTATGCCTCCCACCCTTTTTCGTATCACAGCACACGTAAAAACCTGCCCGGGTTTGTGGAACACCCTAGGGAAATTGACAAGGCTGCTGTGGGCTGAAGTGGCAGCCATGTCACTCCAGCCACTGAGAGGGCTGGTGGGGCCGCTGGGGCTCACGCCTCATGCCCTTTAACTCGCTATACTGGTGGAGACATTCTGTGCTAAGTAAGCCTTGTTAGCTAAGGGTTTGTTGGATTCCCACTCCCAGCCCATGCCGGCCTAAGGTGTTGGTATAAATTGAAAAAAGAACTGTTTCAGCTGGTAGTGATAACTGGCACCCAATACAGCCACTGGGCCTGTGCTTCCGTGTCAGAACACTGAGGTGATCAGGTGACTCCTTTCCCAGTCTCGCTGTGACCGAGTCGGTGGCCTGCCTGGGCAGTGAGCAGTGGAGCGGGAACGGCAGACATATGGGCACGGTGAAAAGCAGGAGTCCCAGGTCCTCATGCCCGAGGCTTCCTGCTCTCAGATGTCCAGAAAGTGCACGGTTGTTCGGCAGGGAATCAAATGTTAGATACATATATACTGTAAAAGCCCACTAATTCAGAGTTTGTGATAAAAATATTTAATTTTTCCATCCATGGCAAAGCGGTCTGTGAAATAATTAAACATGATCATTTAGAACAGGCTTTTGTTATTCAGATATGCACTTCCCCGATTGCATATTTGAAAACAGGCTTTTCTGGATTACAAAAGTAATACATGTTTATTGTAGTAAAAATAGAAGCATTAAAAAATACGTAGAAGGAAATGAACAGAGAGATGAAAATGAACAGGAGGGATGACTGTTTTAAACAGTGTCAGTATGTTCCTCTTTCCAGGCCACTAGCTAATAACCTATACTGGGCACTAAATTGTATTTAGTTTTTTACTAAAATGGATGTTTTTCAGTCAAACAGATTGGGAGTGTAGGTGCAAGGTCACTCAGTAAGAATGTTTCTGTGTCCCCTTTTCCTGAGATAGAGAGCCTTTTATTTCTCCCTAGCTATTAAATATTCATTGACATCCAAATCTCCATTGAGTGATAAATTTGCACAGTGTATTATGTGAAAAAGATTAGAAAAGCATATTCATAACGTGATCCCATTTGGAAAAATATATATTTAACTGGGAAAAAAATTTATATAAACAAAAGTGTTTTGATCCTTGCACTGTTTATCTAGCTGGTTTTCTACCAAAATACTAATGCTGATGGCCTTTCAGTGGCGAGATCTGGGACAGCTTTGACTCTCTTTGATATAGCCCTGTGTGGTCTCCTGATTGGTTTATAATGAGCACATTGTGGAATCAGAACAAAAAAGCCATTTCCATTTTGAAATGGAAAGCAGAACGTTTCCTGAAAGGCTTTGCGTGCAACACACTGGAAATGCAAAGTGATCGCATGGACCACGCGGGGGAGCACGCCTGACCTCCTCTTCTCTCTGTTCCAGGAAGGCGTGGAAGTACGAGTGGCCAGAATCTTCAACACCTTTGGACCACGCATGCACATGAATGATGGGCGGGTGGTCAGCAACTTCATCCTGCAGGCGCTCCAGGGGGAGCCGCTCACGGTAGGTGCTGGCCTCGGCGCAGGGAACACATTACAACCCAAATCGAAGTCAGCTCACAAAGGATGAGGGACGAGTGCATCTCGGTTCGGGGAGTGACACTTCTCAAGCTACCATGTCGTGTTTGTGTTCATCCCCGCTGCCCTCCACTAGGGGGAAGGCAGGCACGGGGACAGAACCCAGATGCATGACTGCTCCACGTAACTCGAGTCGCCGTGCCCTCCATGGCCACTGAGGTCTCTGCCCATGCCTCCAGGTCTGCCTGCCTGTACCAGCCGGCCTATGAAGACCTTCCCCGACATATTTTTGGCCTGCTGGCTGTAGCCAGAGGTGTGCCTGTACTGGGTGTCCTCGGATGACCAAGAAGCCTGGACTGGTAGGGTGAGGAGGTGAGCCGCATCTGGTCAGGCTGGGCCATCACCTTGACAGTGCCGGCAGGCCCTCAGTACCATCCTCTACTGGCCACCCTCAACCCAGGGAAACTTCTGGAGCCAGCAGAGGTCCCAGTGATCTGTGGTCGGTGGTCCGAGTGTGTGGCAAGGATGTCTGTGCCGACAGTGACTGCTTGGTACCCTCGGATACCATCTGGGGTCAGGGTGGGCTGCTCATTCCAGACCTGTCCCCACAGCCCTCTGGCCTCGCTGGGAAGGAGCGCCCCAGGCCTGCCTGGTGAGAGGCTCTGCCGGCGTGTTTGGTTTTGCTAATCCTCCCTCCCACCCCCACCTCCCCCGCCACTCCTCTTCATGGTTATCTGCCCAGGCTGCTTTGCTCTGATCTGTAGCCTCCTAGAGCCCTTTGCAGCGTGGCATTTGGTGGGACTCAAGAGTCGATTTGCATCCTGTTACTCTGAAAATCCTGTAGGATGGTTCGTTATCAATGGAGTGTATTCCAGGGGGAAGAATTAAAGCTCTTTGTATTTCTGTGTAGTACATATGCGCCTACCCATTGACCAGTTGGTCACGTTAGCTCACTCTTCTGTCCCATGATCTGCAGGTGACATTACTCACCTTCTTTTTCAGGTGAGGATGCTGGAGCACAGAGGTTATATGAGTTGCCCAAGCTTAGGTGGCCACACAGTGATAGCCTGGGTTTGAAGCCAGAGCCCCCGCTCTTCATGAGCGTTCTCCGTGGTGCGCATATCTCCTTGTCTGTGTTAGCTGCTCCGCTGCCATTGTAGAACCAAAAGCCTAGCCTGTTACACAGTGGGATGGCTCCCCGAGGGCAGCTGCATCGTATAGCTGAGTTTCGCTGAATGCACTCCAGGGAGGAGATGAGTCCAAACTCCAGCTTCAGGCTCCCAACAGCCCATGCCAGTTCTCCCACGTCCCCCTGTCACTAAGTGGTATCTTGGTGCCCCGAATGGAGGCTCTGTGACCACACATGGCTCTTCTCCTTCCTTCACTGCACAGATCCACCTGCACATCCTAATAGCCGTGCCCTACCCAGGTAGATCCAGACTTCAGTCCCTGGTCTACACTGCTGCCGCCCCACCCCTATTTATTGCCATAGGCTTGGAGCCACTCTCATTCTCCCTGTCCTGTGTACTCTCAACCCCGCAGCTGGAGGGAGCCTTGTAAAGACAGGTCAGAAGCTCGAGTGGCTTTGCAGCTCCAGCAGAGCATGGGACACGGCCCTGTTGCCTCCGAGCCTTCCCTCAGGCCGGGCTTCCTTGCTCCCTTGCTCCTGCCTGTCCCAGGAGTGTCTTGCTTTTCTTCCAGGCATTCTTGTTCATTCATTCTCTCCTTAAGGGAAACTTCTCGATGCTTCTCTGCATTATGGCACCAGGCTGGTTACCATAACCATGTTAATTGTCTTCACTGCCCTTGTAACCAGCTGAAATACGAATTTTACAGCCCCAATCCCTGTTAGTATAGTGTATGCTCTTCAAGAACTTTGTTTCATTCATGGTTGCATCCCCGGCTCCCAAAAGACCACCAGGCACATGGGCACAGGAGAGAAATGTTGGGTGGACTAGTTACTGGGTTGTAGTGGCCGCTTTCCTTTATGGTAAGTGAAAGTGGTGAAACTTCCTGTCATCCCGTGTTCCCCTCTTGCTGCTGCTTGGGGTTCTGAGGAGCTCGTGCTATGCCCTGCGAACCCCTTAGTCCACCTGATCAGTTGAGAATTCCATGTCTGAGGACAGCCTGGTGCCTTTTTAGTGACTGTTTAGAAACTCCCTCATGCTGTGAGATGAGAGCTGCTTTGTTTGCAGAGTAAACTGTGAAAGCCTCCAAGAAGCAACTTGATTTAGTGCCTCCTTGGCAGCAGCCAGGGCTCCCGGTGTCCCCTAGCCACCCCGAGAATGCCTGCATTGTTGGCAGAGGTGATAATTCATGTGTTGTCTTCACACCGAACAAGCTTTTGTGCCAGAGCCAGAAGGGAGAAGATCTCTGGAGCCGTCCGTGACTGCAGTTAATCCAGAACGTGGCGGGCTTCAGTCTCTGTGGGCACCTTCTGGTGGCAGGAGGCAGAGGTCCCGAGGGAGGCCTTTCAGAACGTGTTTTGTTTCCTTTGTCACACAGAATTCTGTTTCCCAGCAAGAATTTGATGAAGTCACTGACTTCATTCTTTTCTGTCCAATTGAGATACCATGCCTTGCTCTTGTCAGGCGGCTCTGTGGGGCGGTCTGGGGAGAGACTCACAGGCCTGCCTCAGCCAGCCTGTCTTTAGAAACACTCGGTTTATTGAGGAAGGGAAATAAGGAGGCGTGTCCACCTATTTCCTTTTCTGCTACATTTCCAACAAGTCACTTCCGAGATGAAGACCTCTTCGGGGTGGTCGGAGACGGCTCAGGGTCTCGTCCTCCCTTTCCAACCGGGATGGGCGTGATTGCTTACCTTGCAGCTGTGTTTTTGAGCAGATTCCTCATGCCTGTCTTAGCATCTCACTCGCTGCTGTACCAGATGCCTGTGAGGAGGACTCAGGGAGTATGTCACTAGGTTAAGTGCATCATACATCAAAGCTATATTTTAAGTGGAATCATGTAGAAGTTCAGCCAATTTTTGCATCTCAGCTTAGAAAATAGATGAGTATGGTTCAGGTAGAGCTATTGTCCTACGTTTGTTTTCGAAGAGACTTTGGCCCACAGTTCAGCAGCACATTCACAGGAGGGGTTCACTCTGCTTTCCACCTTACATGATTTTTCCCAGGTTTGGATTTGCCCAGGACAGGTCAGACGTGGCAGAATTGGGGTTTGAATCCAGTTCTATATCATTTTAAAAGCCTTGCTATTCTTCCAAAGGGAAATTTTGGAAAAATCATACTTCTAAGACCAAGTCAAAGCTGGTATGATGTTTAGCCTTTTTACTGATATTGTGGTATGTTAAGTGATTCTTACATTGGGCCTTTGTTTGTGGCAGAGGGCCATAGGATTTGTTAAACAGTTACTAAATGGTACTAAAGTATGGTGAGGAAGACTTTATTCAGGACCATCATGACAGGAATACGGATCACTGCAGTGGGATTTTTCAGGGGGAGAAAGACTGGGATCAACTCCAAATACAGTACAGGCAAGCAGAATTTTCAGCCAACGAGCAGGGAGGAGATGAGTGGATGGAAAATGATTAAGAGGAAGCCTCAGAGGTAAAGAGGATTCTATCTAAACCAATCTAACAGGATTCTTGCTGATGACAGGCCAGGGTGATCGGACACACTCTGGGGGATATGAGGAGTGAGGAATGTGAGATATCGAGGGTGAGGGTTTCTCTAAACTGACTTAGCAGGGTTCTTGTTAAAACTAGATTTTACAAGGAAGTGCGCAAATGGGCCTAGGAGAAGGTACTAGAGCCTGAATGAAGTTTGGCCAAGCAAAGAATCTTTGTCACATCTTAAACACATAAAGCACAGCAGCTGGGGACATTGCCAAGTGATCATGAGAGCTCCTTGCTGCTCCTCACCCCCGGCTGGTCCTCTCCCCTGTTGGTGACTCCTTGATCATCATGCTGCTTTGACCTGCACACAGCCCTTCGTTCCCCGGCCCCCTGTAGCAGCCTTGACTCTTGCATGAATCTCCTTGCATCTCTCCTGTTCTGTGAAATGAAGCCAGAGGGACCGAATCTCACACTCTGTCTTCTGTTAGAAGAACAATGAGGAGTCTGAGGGAGCTCTGCCGACGTCAGCTGTCCACACCAGATCCCTGTGATAATCATGGCCAGATTTTGCTGCACACCCAATTTGTGCCAAGTCCCTGTGGGCCTTATCTTGAAGTGGGGGAGATAGAAGGCCTCAGACCACGCTGGGAGGGCTGTACACGGGCTGCAGTTGAGTTCTAGAGCCCGGGGAAGACAGATAGTTTGGATGGGGCATAATTGCATCGCATCTTCTCTCTTGCACACACACCCTTTCTTTTACTTTACATTTTCACATTAGCACACTGAATATTTCACACATGAATTACAAATCCTCATGTTGCAAAGTACTGTGTTAGTGAAATAGGGAGGGTAATTTAATCCCAAGTATAGATGATGGATGTGATATGCTATAGAAACTGAAATCCAGCAGGACTCTTAAGGATACGAGGAAGGAAGTGTTCCAGGCTGCCACTGACATTGCATCTTAGCCTAATGCACACACGGGAGCATACAAACCTTCAAGACTCTGTCAGCAAGGCCTGTCGGGGTGTGCAGTGGGCGTCCGACGGGATCCACGCCTTTCCACTGCAGCCCGGCAGAACAGCCACCTCTTGTACTAGGGACTATTTCATTGAGGCCCAGTTGCTTTGTGGACATCAGGTGGGACCTCAGAGGGGGTGCTGCTGAGCGGCTTGTGTCACCGAATCTGAAGGGAGCAGAGCTTACCCGGTGACCGTGGTGCCTGCAGATGAACCTTGTGTTGGTGCTGGCTGGGTGGGGAGCTGCCCCTGGCGAGTCATGCAGGGAAATGCGCCCACAGTTGTAAATCTCCTTCCAGTGCGCTTTGAATGAGGCAACAGTGGGAAATACCCAGCAGTCTGCAGGTTATTTCGGGAGCCTTTTGGACTTCCCAGACTGCAACCCTTTGGGATGAAGTGACATTCACGCTGCTGAGTGTCTCCACCACAAGTCCCTTGTTTGGTTGAGCAGGTACCTGGTGTGGTTCTTCACATCCTGAGCCTGGCAGCCTGGGTTAACCCGTCCCGGTCTGGGGGTTCCATGGCTCCTCTCTGAGAGGCGGCGTGTGCGTGGATACCGCAGCTCTGATGGGCGAGCCTGGGCTTTCGATCAGGCTGAAGACTGGCCTCGGCTGGCTTGTTGAAGGCCACTGCCACTCTGCACAAAGGTGGGCTTTCTGTGAATGTGGCTGGAATGCACTGGCGGACTGGTGAGCCCACCGTCGCAGTGACCCTGACTGAATGCGGTGGGAAGGTGCAGAACAAGTAGCAGAAGTGCATCTGTGCGCTCAGCTTTGAGAGCAGAGCCCCGGACGCAGGCAGAGGCAACGGGCAGGACAGCAGCACAGCCCCAAACCCACCTGTGGAGGAGCCTGTGACGCGGGAGTTGCCTAAATCCAATACTCACTACAGTGAGGTCGTAGAATGGCCTGGTGCCAGCCTGAGAGCCACAGTTTGAAAAAAAAAAAAAAATTGTACAGGCAGTTCCGAAGTTATGAACACAATAGGGCGGGAAGAAGAATCCTGAACTTGGAGTCAAGATAAATTTGACTCTGCTGGGTGCAGGTCACTGCAGCACTTTGACCTTCCATCAGCTCATCTCCAAAATAAGGTTGTGAAAAACAAGAAGAGTTACACCTACAGCACTGGTGTAGAGGCGAGTTTCCAGGCTGAGGGAGCTGGCAGTAGGTGGACCTCCTGTCCTACCAAATCAGGCCCACCGCTTCCTGCCTTCCTCACGTGTATCAGAAGGATCAGCCAGGCCGGAGAATCAGGTTCAGACAGAACTCAAGGAATTCCCCTCTGCTTCCAAGAGGCCCACGCCCATCTTTCCTCAATGTTCCTTTACTGAGATTTGTTGCAGCTGTAGTTTCTGTGTTGACAGGAATCTCCATTCCTCAGTATCCACAGCCTTTTCTCAGTGGAAGGCCTTACCCCCAAGAACAGAACCTACATAGATAGAACTGATACACCTGTGAAACTGGCATATGTAAATGCTTACTAAGAAAACACAGAGATAGCCTTTGAACCTGCTAAATAAATAAGGCGTTCAGGAGGTTTGAGGCATGTGCTTTTTTTTTTTTTTTTGGAAAAGGGTCCCCCCTTGCTCTTCTTGCCCAGGCTGGAATACAGTGGCGCGATCTTGGCTCACTGCAACCTCCGCCTCCCAGGTTCAGGCGATTCTCCTGCCCCAGCCTCCCGAGTAGCTGGAATTACAGGCATGTACCACCACGCCCTGCTAGTTTTGTATTTTTAGTAGAGACTGGGTTTCTCCATGTTGGTCAGGCTGGTCTCGAACTCCCGACCTCAGGTGATCCGCCCACCTCGGCCTCCCAAAGTGCTGGGATTACAGGCATGAGCCACCGTGCCCGGCCATGCATGTGCTTTTCTTCCCCACCTGCTCCTTCCCCTTTTCCTTCTCAGAGCTGGAGGGAGGAGCTCCAGGGAAGCCGGGCTGAGTGTCTGGGGCTGAGGGGGCTGGTGCTGTTCTCAGAGCTGCTGGCAGGGGCTCTTTTTTGCTGTCAGGCAGGAGGAGGCCCCAGGGTTGTTTAATAATCAAGCTTTTCCCAAAGGCAGTCCATTCCTCCCAGCTGCCTGCTTTCCACCACAGGAAGGCACACAAGCAAACAAAACCTCCGAGGGCACTCTCGTTCCTGTGATGCTGCACTTAGGAGATCTCCCCAAGCACCTCTGTTGCCATCTCCGCCTGAGTGGCGTGATCCGTGACGCTCCGCAGGTCGTTCAGCAGATGCTTATCCCATGCTAGTATCGCATCACGCATCGTGCTGGGCTCCAGCAGGGCGAAGAGCGTTTGGACACCAGTCCTTCTGGGGAGTTCACAGTTGGGGGCAGTTGGCAAAGGGCTTTCCCTGGGGAATGAGCCAGAGGAAGCTTCTCCAGGAGATGGCATCAGAGCCTGTCCCTAAAGGATAAGTAGCACTCTGCCAGGTGGAAAGTAGACAAGAGGGTCTTGGCCGGCAGAGCAAAGAACACAAGCCAAGCTATGGAAATGTGGAGCAAATGTGCAGTGGAAACAAAGGAGAATGTGACCCTCCCTCCTGCCTCCTCCGCGTCACTTTCAGAGTCTCCTGCATGGCTCCACCTTGGCCTTACATTAGAATATCCTGGGGAACTAGCTGTAACAATACCAGGAGATGCCGGCCTTATCCCAAACAGTCTGTGGACCAGCCTGGGCGGCGTCCCCGGCTCTGCTGTTGGGCAGTCAGAGTGAGGAACCCCAGTTAAATGCACGTGTTACTGTTTGTGTGTAGATCTGTCACCTAGCTGGACTCTGAGGTCACAGCTCTCAGAGCCTCACATGATGCCTGACACATCATAAGACTCCAGCAGAAGCAAATTCCTTCAGGCACTGTCTTTTGAGGGAAGACTTTACGCATCTATACCAGCTGCACGCTTTAGGTGTTGCTGCCCCCGTCTCACTGTCGGGGCATGGTCTCGAAGTAGAGTGCGGGATGTGGCGCTAGATGCTTGGAGTCAGCATCACTGCCCCCTGGGATCAGTTTCGAGGTCAGTCTGTGTCCCCTGAAGTTCCAAGGACACCTACCCAGTACTGGTGTGGTTTTCTCAGGAGGCCTAACTGTTGGTTTCCTTCCAGGTATACGGATCCGGGTCTCAGACAAGGGCATTCCAGTACGTCAGGTAAGACCGTCCTGGCCCGCCCCAGCCTTAGCAGTGCCTTGGAGCAGGCCTACTTGACAGTTCAGTGTCTTGTATATATTAACCATTTCCATTTCCACAACACTAACACTATATATTGATTAAAAATGTTTAATTTTATGATGGGAAAACTTGCTGTTCTCTGTTTAAAAGTTAAAATTTGCATTCATCTCCATGACTATTGTGACTCATGTGCTAATCTTTTACTGCCACCTAGCGGTGTAGCGCTGAAGTTGCCCAGCTCTGAGGGTGACTTGGGTGATTTCAGCGCAGGCCAAGTTAAGAGATGGCCTTATGCATCCAGCAAACCTGTGAATGCCAGAATCTGACCCATTGCCAACGTGGCTCGCGGGGTGGAAGAGGTAGTCCTTGTGGAGGGCACAAGGTAGATAGTGTTCTCATGTTGAATTTCATGCTGACACTAAATGCAGATAAAAATATGTTTTTTGGATAGATTCACGTGGTGATTTTTATTGTTTTCTTGGCAATCCTTATAAATCCACTGTTTTGTTGCTCCATTCCACTGGTGATTAATTTTAGAAGGCAGTATGGATTCTCAGAGTAGTTAGGATAGAAGCAGTTGCGTATGCCAAAGTGCATCCACCAATATGTGGCTACTGTAAATTCTGTGAAAGTTTCTGGTATCCTGAATTGTTATAAAACCCAGTTCTATATTTTGAACCCATATATTTTCATTCTTCATTGCAAATACCCCAGTATGCCTGTCAATCAGGAAGTGTTATTCCTGCTGTCTTGGCGCCATCCCAGGGGCACTAGGGTGAGATGGTGGCTGTTGTGGTGCAGGTTGGGGTGGTGCAGGTCAGGGCAGCCCCCGAGTCCCACCTCAGCCAAAGCAACCACATAAAATTCTATCTACCCAGGACCCTTAGGTAAGGGTCCTGGGTAGGAGTCCCTAGGAGAAATGAAACTGGTAGTCAACTAAAATTTTAAAAACAATTCAAAATAACCACTGTAGATTTTTGCTGAAAGTATTTGTGAATTTCCATTTACTCCAAAAGAAAGCTGTGAGTAAACATTTACACAGTCAGTGGTTTTTTTCCTCCCCACCCATTAGTATCTTGCCTCAAGGGGCAAAAAGCCCGAAAGTGTACTATAACCAACTATGTTGCCTAAATAGGCGTGCATATTCTAAAAAGCGATTTAACAGGGAAATGGCAGCGGCCCCCACTTTGGGACTGTGTTCATTTCAAAGCATTTAGCATAGGCACTGTGTCCCTGGAGGAACTATCATGGCACACTTCCGTATGGGGACCAAATTGTGGGCCTCCCGTGGATTGAGTACCGTCTTCGCATAGTGACACGTTCTCATCCCATCCTCCTCCACTCACCCAGCTGTGCCCTTTCCTGAGGGAGTTCTGCTGTCCTCGGTTATGTGTGCCTGCCTTAGGCTTCCTCACCAGTGGCCCCCAGGCTTCTCCAGCCCCCACACCACATGGAATATCAATGAGATGTTGTGCGGTAAAAGGAAATCAGTCAGAACCCATTCTTCTTTCTGCTCTCATTATCTCAAGGGCATTGCCTGCAAAATTCATTTAAAATAGCCTCAGAAACTTTTCTTTTTCTAGGGTCTAAAATACTTTGAGCATTCGATGATGCCTGCTCTATGTGCTGTCCCAGCTCAGGACAAAATGCACGCAGGGTACCCGGCCCGCTCTGATGGGCGAGACTCCCCTGCCCCATCACTCTCTCTGTGCCCTGGTCACTGTCCTGTGCCTGCTTTGATGGTCGTGGCTCATGCTTCTAGCTGCCATCACATGCATCGTCCTCTCGCACACCACGTGACTATTTGAAAAGAGGGCGTGAGCAGTTTCCCTAGACATTTGGTTGTTAACCCTTTTAGAAAACCCCTTTTCGTAACACGTCAGTAGTAGTTATTTACTCCCCACTCTGGTGATCCTCTCCGGTTTCACAGTAGCGGAGCCTGAGATGACGAGGCTTCAGGGACTTTGCCATACTTGGGCAAGGGTTTCCCGACTTAACTTTTTAGTCATTGAGGACTCAACTGAGTTCATTAACTGACCAAAGTTTTGATGTTTTTCACAAGCAGTTTTTTACGAACCGAGCATCTTTTAGTAATGCACAATGTCTGGGTCCATAGTTACTGTATTAACCATTCTCCAAACCCATGATTGCCTCAAAACAACAGTGCAGGGAGTCTGAGGTCTAGGTGGCCATCCGCATCGACATTTTGGCATGACTGTGTTTAATATTCTCATGGCCGGTTTTGTCCTCATTTACATAACAAAGGCATGCTATTTTTTTAAAAAGTCACTTTGTCAAAATGACACTTGTAAAGAGCTTCAGGTTAAATGAGTGTGATCTATGCAATTGTGACCTTAAAAGTTGCCAGTTTGTCAGGTAGAAGGCCCATGGCCCTCCCGTCTGCCCCCCTGAGGATGACTAACTGAGAGTCAGCCTTCTTCCAACTCAAAGAGACCCACCCCCCAGTTTCAATATGAAAACCTATTGTGGATGCAGTGGAATGGCAGCTTTTAATGTCTTTTTACAGACGTGCACAGGTGTACGTCATGAGTGCGCTGTTGTAACAGTACTGCCATAGTGATGAAGTGACTTTTTGCTACTTTCTATAAAAGAGGAATCATCCAGGGTCAGCAGGAATTTGCATTAGTGCTTGATCCTTGAGAATACAACATTTTAAGCATGTTCGTATGAAATACGCATTTGTCGTAAAGGAACACGCAGAAATATCTTATTTACTAAATACCCCAATAGTTTTTTTTCAATTGAAAGCAAAACCTATCCGAGGTTTTCTTTTGGAAGTTTATCCAGACCCAGCGTGACCTGCTCCTCACTGGTAACGATGGAGGACGAGAAGGAGACGGGTCAGAGCTTTAAAAGTCTTCTAAGAATTGTAGCTCATGGAAAATTGGCATAGAAAAAGTACTTGTGCTTATTAGCAGTGAGGTGTCATTTTTACGAAGTAACTTTTTTTTAACAGAGCCACACTTTAAAGCTTCTGAAAATAAGAGCCAAACCTTGGTAAGCGAAAGTTTGCTTACTTATCTTCACCTTCATGGCCCAGTTGATCACAATCCATTTGAAACATCTGAATATCCCTGACCGTTTTCATACGAGGTGTTTTGCGGGATGGCGACTTCACTGTCGGGGGCATAGGGAGGGACGTTTCTGTTTATTTCAACCCTCAGTATTGTCTGGCTTTATCTGTGATTTGCCGGTATGGGGATCACATACTGGAGTTCCTTCATTTCCGTGGATCTTGTTTTTAAAAGTAATCACGTGCTTTCGTACAGGTCAACTACTGGGTTCACATTAAACATGAATTTTCTTTGGAAACTTACGTAAACTCCATCTTTTTTGAGTGTATGCCTGTTTTAACTTATGCTTAGTTTTTCATTGTTAAAGGACTTCAGAAATGCAGTGGCGAACTCAGCCCCATCTCTCAGCTTCCATCCTATTTAACCATCTCCACCACACCCAAAAAAAGCAAATCCCAGACGTCAAATGTATCATTTCATCCATAAATACTTTCGCATTATAAACACCATCTTAGTTTGCAGGATTTTATTGTGACATTCAATTTTCCATTTGGGTTTTTATTTTCTTCTGGGGGTGGTAATTTTTCTTCTGGGAGGGCTTCTGCGTGGCGCGTGGCACTAGCGCATTCCAGCAGGCCGAGCCTCACCCGCCTCCCCTTTTTTTACAGTGATCTGGTGAATGGCCTCGTGGCTCTCATGAACAGCAACGTCAGCAGCCCAGTCAACCTGGTGAGTGCTCCTCTCCCTCCACTCTGCAGGACAGCTCAGACTTTCATTCATTTGTGAAACCGTGAGCAGCACCAGGCTTTGCTTCATTTGCTATCAGCACACTTAAGGCATTCGTGTTTGTTGCTTGCTAAATACTAGAGGAAAAACAAACAGAAAGTAAGAGTATACAAAGAAGTAAAATATCTGCAAGACATGGATGAGTGATGTAATTAGTCCCTCCACCTTCTGAAGGGCCCAGGTCTAAAACTGTGTGAAGCCCTTTGGTGGTCGTAGGTGGACATGTGTATGCATCTCATTCTCTTTTTACTAGGTGGGTCGTCATTATAAGACCTGATTGCGTTTTTAGAAGATGGAGGTTGTTCAGAGAGAAAGTTTTCCAGTTTTTGATGATGTCTGTCATTTAGCCGGACAGGCCACCTTCATGGCTGCTTGCCTTCCCTGCATGCCTGCCTGCAGCCCAGAACCTCCCTGTTGGAGGGATCATCCAGTCTTGAGCAGTTTCAGTGCTGGTGAACGTGCTTCTGCTCAGAGAAATTCACCCTGTCTTTGGACAGTTCTGGCTGGCAGAAAACTCTTCCTTATATTGAACCAGAAATCTCACTTTCTGCACACCTATCCACTGACCTCACTTCTCCACCTGGGGGCCACTCATGGCAGTGTGATGCCTCTACATTGTGGTAACTCTCCAAAGATTTGAAGGACATGGTCCTACGCGCCAAGCCTCCTCCTCCTCCTTGGCTGCGTCAGCCAAGGTCATGGTAGGACCTCTTACCCTTTCTATCACTGAGTGATTTTCTGAGCAGTTTTGTTCCATCTCATTTAAAATGCAAGGTTTCCAATGTGGACTGTCCAGCATTCAAGATGTTCTGCGTCTGTTGATGGCAGTGGACACAGGAACCCCTTAGCTCACTAGAGACCTCCCCCTTAATCCCACCTCGATGAAGCCTTGGGGTCATTTCAGGTGCTTCTCCCAAACTACCTCTCCCGGTTCCTACACAACATTCTAAGGTTCGGGGAACTCTAAAATGTTGGCCATGTGACCTGTTTCTTGCAAACCATGTCACCTTTGCTTATGCATGTCTTTGTAACCAGCCATCTCAAATACATTGCAGACCGTGTATTTTCCCCCGAGGTGAAAGGGAATTCTCATCACGTAGGGAAGAACGTGCCCTGGAGTGCTGACTCCATCCTGGGACTGTTGCAGATTCGTGGGTACAGTGTGCCGCGTTTGAAAAAAACATTCACTTAAAACAGACCAGAACGTGCCTGGCACTGTAAGCCTCATCTTGCTTGCAGCATTTGCCTGTGTACACCGGAGAGGCCTGAGCCACCCCTGCTCTGCGTTTTTGCTGCAGGTTCTTTAGCAGGGGTGTTGTCAGTGACTTCCCTGGGCAGCCAGGCTCTTCTCTGTAGATACCATGTTCCTCCTCCCCGCTTTGTGGAGGGCCTTTGCACGGGGACAGTTCATGAACTTGGAATCGTGTGTGTGCCAGGAGCCCCGATAAAGGCAGAATCACTTTCTTCCAAATTCCCGTCGCTCCACTTTGCTCGTCAGTCCTCTCTGTGCTCAAGTGAGGCCCAGGGTCCTTCCCTCCACATTTACCCTCTAGCTTCAGGCTAACCGAGGACCTGGGCATGAAGAGGCTAAAGGATATAGAATTATCAGACCTTATGGTGGTCTCTTATGATAGGCGGCAGTGGCGGCAGAGTGGAGTAACAGGTGTTCTGATGTGTGATGGAAGGGAGAAAAAGAGCAAGTGGTTTTCCTTAAAGCCCCCACAAGTGTTCTGTCTTCGTGAAGCGCATCGAGTTTGACCTCTGGCTTGCTGGGGACGCTCGCCTGTGAGCATACTCATTTCTGCCTTAGCTTTCGGGTGTGAGATTGCGTGTCCTTCATCGTTGACATAGTTAACACAGCTCACCCAGAGGGAAATAGATGGTGTTAGGAGAGCTAATTTTGTAAACCCAAGCTTGTATAAAAGTGACATTGAAGTTATGTCAGATATGAAATTGTCTGATACTCAGCGAGTGAATGTGTGCCTTCATCAGAGACTCTGGACCTATCCAGAGCCCAGCCTTGTACACAGCAGCCGAGAGGCTGCAGGTATAGATGGTGCAGTTTAGCACTGCCAGGTGAGTGACTGTCATCTTGGAAGCGGAGTACGCTCTGGCACACGGAGCTCTGCTGAAGCACTGCAGAGAGGTCAGACTTGGCCAGCAGACGTCTCTGCAGACACGCATGTGGTCTGGGTGGCGGGTTGCTGCTGTTGTCATGACGCTTATAACTGGAAACCCTTTCTTCCTTAGGGGAACCCAGAAGAACACACAATCCTAGAATTTGCTCAGTTAATTAAAAACCTTGTTGGTAAGTAGGATAAATCACTTCCTGAGTAAAATCGGCTGTGCCTGCCCTATCTGTGGATAACACCTTGACTAGACAGTGGGTAATTAATACCAGCTAATTGAATTGGATCAAAGCAGAACTTTTTATCAGGAACACTTAAGTGTTTTCTAATTTTTAAGGAATAGAAAGATAAAGGAGGGCAGGATGGCTTTGTTCTCAGTTTTCATTGTAGGTTTGCATGGAGTGGGAGGGAGGAGGAGATTTGCTCCCAGTGTTTGAGGCACGATTGTGTTAGGTCATCCTACATGGGTGACAACTATTGGATTTCTGAACTGGTCATGTCAAGCATAGCATTTCAGACAGCAAGAGACAGCAACCACCAGCTGTGTGCTTCAGGCAAGTTTAAAATTTTGTTTGCAGTTCTGGTCATCCTGGCCGCCAGCCACTGGGGGCAGTGTAGCTTTGGGAGAACCCCATCAAGGTGGGCTCTTAGGCCGTGAGAAGGTCAGGTCTTCCAGACCAGCCCTGGATTGCAGACGTAGAGTGCATGAGCCCTTGGCCTCATCCTCAGACTTCCTGGAGCTCTGAGGAGTCAGACTCTTGGAGGGTGTCTGTTGTCTGGGGTTAATCTTGAAATTTGAGTGAAGTCACAACCAGACTGGACTGGCAGGTAGGCCAGGGAGGAGCATGCCACAGTGTGTCCTGAGGTGACCATTCAGACCCCACTTGGCTGGGTTAATTCCTCCAGCGTGCCCTTCCTGCATCAGGCTGCCATTTACCGGCGTTGGTCTAATCACCGCGGACAGTTGGAATCCTCTCGTTGCTCGTGGCAGTAGAGGCAGTGGTCTTCCTCAGACGTAGCCTGCATCATCTGCGGCTCCCACAGCCGCTTCGATGCACTTCTCAGCTTTTCCATCCTGAATCTGTGTTCCTCCCTCGTGAGGAAGGGGCAGGCTCAGATCACAGCTCTCTGCCATCCACTCCTTCATACCCTCACTGCCCAGAGTGAGGCGCGTGGGCCAGCGCAGCAGTAGCATTGGGTGCCTGTTAGAAATTTGGACTCTCACGCCCTAGCCCAGGCCCCCAGATCAGGATCTGCATGTTGACAGGCTCTTCAGGTGATCCGTGCATGCTGACGCTTGAGAAACTCTATTTGAAACCTAAGGTTGTGGGGAGGGGTGCGCAGCTTCCCTGCTGTGCTTCTGTGTGTAGCTTTGTGGCACACCATCCTGAACCACCCGTGGTGGTGATTTGCTGCAGAGTCTCCGATGTGGCCTCCATGACGGGGAGGCAGGGAAAGCCTCCACAAGCTTTCTTCTGCAGGTCTGGCCCACAGTCACTGGTGGGGCTGTATTCTGCTGGCCAGTGGGGCCTGGGCCCAGCAAGGGTGCAGAACAGGCCGGGCTTTGCCGTCCTCCGAGAGGCCCCTCCAGCTGGGTGGCTGCACATCTTGAGTCTCAGGGCTGTCCAGGCTCCGAGCACCCAGGTGTGGCCCACTTGGGGCATCCACCTCAGGGATGGCCCCACACCACGTTTGTGGTCATGCTCAGTGGGCACGTCTCACTTGTTACCTGGTGTGGGTGGTCTGCCTTGGAGCAGCCCTCTTGTACTGGGCGGAAACTCAGGCCTGTTGAGACAGAGTAACGTGCCTCCCACCAGGCTCTTGCCGGGCGCCTGCACAGTCAGCTCGGCCGCAGCGGTTGCAGGAGCGTTCCCTGGATCCCGTGCAGGACAGTCCCTCGGGAGCTCTGGGGCTTCTCGAGAACTGCATCTCCACCGCCTGTACCCTATTCACACTGCATATGGGGTTTGACTTTGATGTGGATAGTAAGGCCGCGCTTCCCCGTGCTTTGTGATTCTCGCCTACCTTTTTTTCTTTAAACATCTCAGGTAGCGGAAGTGAAATTCAGTTTCTCTCCGAAGCCCAGGATGACCCACAGAAAAGAAAACCAGACATCAAAAAAGCGAAGCTGATGCTGGGGTGGGAGCCCGTGGTAAGTGCAGGGAGTTAATGCTGCCTTGTGGGGAGGGGCCTCCCGTGTCCTGTCTCTGCTGTCCTGTAGGCACCGACCCTTGTCAGGCAGCCGCCAGGGGAGCAAGGTGGGCTCGGCATCCAGGCAGATAGAGGGTTTTCTCCAAGCAGTAAGCAGCCTCTCCTGTATCAGGAGTCTCAGAGAATGTTACCCGGGAAGCGGCTGGAAGCCCCTGCTCTGGGCTCTGTTTTCGTAAAATCACACACACACACACACATGCACACACACACACTCTCATACTCTCATACACACACACTGTCATACAAACACTTGTACACACATATTCTCACACTGTCTCCCACACACACTGTCATATATACACTGTTTACGAACACACTTAATACATGTATACTCACACTCATTTTCACACATACACATTCACACTATCATACACATTCTCACATTCATACACGCACACGCACACTCATACACACATTCACACATACACTCCCACTTCCACATACATACACTCCCACACACACACACACACACGCACACGGCTGACTGTGAACGACGTGCCGAGAGCACTGGCAGCGCACACTCAGAGCCCTGCGTGGCCCGGTTGCCTGCCTCTCGAGTGTGCGGGGCCAGGTCAGGAGCCGGTGGTCTGCATCAGCCCCGCAGTGGAGCCCCTGGTTGGAAGCATGTGAGACTGAAGGGTGTGGAGGAAGGGGAACTGCATGCCGCCTTGTCGTCTGAAGGGGGCAGGGTGGGGGCAGCTGCCGCCCCTCTGGTGCTGAGCCTGGACCCAGCCTGCCTCTGCTCTGCTTCCTGCTGTGCCCTTCCTGCCTTGGGTGACTGCAGACTCCTCCCCGCCGGAGAACGCTCGCCCTTAGGGCTGCCTGTGTCCTTCAGAGACCACCTGTGTAGGGAGGTTGGCTGGGCCGGCCGCATCTACAAAAGCAAGCCCACCTCATTTACTGTCAGCTCTGCCTGGCTGTTCCCTCTTTGCCCACCCTCATGTGCCCCACTGAAACTCAGGCTCCCCTTGGGCAGAGGCGTGGGGCCCTGTGTCCAGCAGGAGCCCAGCACCTGTCAGACCTGACACACACTGGGTGCTCAGCCAATGTAGGAGCGTCTTGGCGTGGCCCATGGGTTGTGGCGGTCAGAGAGTCAGGGACGCAGTTGAGAGCTCCGTTTACCTTTTTAAAATGTGCATAGTGAGAGCTGAGTAGAATCCTAGAATATTGAACTTTAAAGGGACACGAGAGTTCCAGCCTGATGATCCTTATTTCTTTCTGTGATGTCCAAGTCTAAGTGATCTGCTAAAAGCCACAGATATTTGTTGAATGAAATAAAAATACAATTATACCCAGACTTCACAAAATCTAATAATCCCAAGCTGTGCAAAACGAGTTATAGCAGCTTAGGTAGTTTCTTGTGTTTTGAAGCTTTGTAAGGGGCCATTGGTCCCTTTGTAAGGAGAACCTATATTTTTAAACAGAATATTTTTTGAAGAGTTAAATGTGCATTCGCTAGGTATTAACTCTTGCTTTTGATGTGAGGTGTGTGTATGCTCAGTATCTTTATTTTTCTGGAATTTAGATCACAGTATTCTAACATTCTTGCAATGTGAGCCATCTACCACTGGTTTCTCTCCTAGTAGTAGTTTTAATTTATAATAAATTTTTGAGGGATATGATCCAAAGAAACTTACAGGCGTTATCCATCTTAATTGTCCCAAGTGTGTGTGTTTAACAGCTTGTTGAGCTGTAATTGGCATACTGCAAACTGCCCATATTTAGAAGATACAGTTTGATAAGTTTTCATCTATTTTGACACCTGTGAAACCATCCCCACAGTCAAGCTGACAGACAGACCTTCTCCCCCAGTGGTGCCCCAGCACCCCTTGGCAGTGCCTCCCTTCACCTTTTCTCTTTCTGCTCTTAATCAGCAGTTGATCTGGCTGGTTTCCTGTTGGCTGCAAAGCAGCTACAGATGAAGGTTGCTTTCTGTGGTGTGGGCTGCCGTGGGTCCCCTCTCAGACTCAGCCTCTTAGTATGGTGGGGGTGCAAGTGGGCCACGATGCGCTGGGCAGTGTAAAGGGCTGATGTCACGTGGGAGAATCAGGCGTGTTGATCAGATGCAAATCACCTTCCCAAAGCATCTTCCCACCACTTCAAGGTGGATTTCTTCTGAAAGAATGGGGCACATGGGCATTATCTGAAAAACAGTCTTGCCAGCTGATTGAAACTGGAGCAGACATTATACCGGCAAGAGGTGGTTGGGGTCTTTTGTGGGGTGGAGCTCACTTGGCTTCAGTAAGAGTGACACTTGTTAGCTCCACATTACATTCTGAAAGTGGCCCTGAAGGACCTCTGGCTTCTCTCGGTGGGCTGTGATGCTGGATGCTGGATGCTGTCACAACCAAAGCGTGGTTCTGTGCGCGTTCCTCTGAAGGAGGCCCGACTGGCTGCAAGGTGGCACTTCCTTCCTGCGATGCCCTTCTGTCAATGTGACCTTGTCTCCCTTTCTCGCTTTCCCTTTAAACAGGTCCCGCTAGAGGAAGGTTTAAACAAAGCAATTCACTACTTCCGTAAAGAACTCGAGTACCAGGCAAATAATCAGTACATCCCCAAACCAAAGCCTGCCAGAATAAAGAAAGGACGGACTCGCCACAACTGAACTCCTCACTTTTAGGACACAAGACTACCATTGTACACTTGATGGGATGTATTTTTGGCTTTTTTTGTTGTTGTTTAAAGAAAGACTTTAACAGGTGTCATGAAGAACAAACGGGAATTTCATTCTGAAGCTTGCTTTAATGAAATGGATGTGCCTAAAAGCTCCCCTCAAAAAACTGCAGATTTTGCCTTGCACTTTTTGAATCTCTCTTTTTATGTAAAATAGCGTAGATGCATCTCTGCATATTTTCAAGTTTTTTATCTTGCTGTGAGAGCATATGTTGTGACTGTCGTTGACAGTTTTATTTACTGGTTTCTTTGTGAAGCTGAAAAGGAACATTAAACGGGACGAAAAATGCCGATTTTATTTATAAAAGTGGGTACTTAATAAGTGAGTCGTTACACTATGCATAAAGAAAAATCCTAGCAGTACTGTCAGGTGGGTGGTGCACCGGCATTGACTTTAGGGCAGATAAAAGAATTCTGTGTGAGAGCTTTATGTTTCTCTTTTCATTCAGAGTTTTTCCAAGGTCTACTTTGGAGTTGCAAACTTAAGACTTTGAAATATTCCTGTTGGTCATGATCAAGGATATTTGAAATCACTACTGTGTTTTGCTGCGTATCTGGGGCGGGGGCGGGTTGAGGGGGACAAAGTTAACGTATTCTTGGTTAACCATGGTTAAATATGCTATTTTAATAAAATATGGAAACTTACCAGTCATGGACTTCCAGTTTTAAAGGTTGTCTTTCTGCTTCGGCATGGCACTTGTTGGACTGCTAAGGAAAACATTGGAAAATGTAGTTTAAAAGAAAATCTGAAAACATTCAGGTTTGTGCACTATGTAATCTGATATGTAGCGATTGAAAACATTTATATACTTCTCGGGCTGAGTGTATGCATATAGTATTCACTGCCATGTGAAGTTTTCAGATCTTAGCCAGGGTTAGAATCAGTTTTGTGACCTTCCTTGGCAACACAGACCAGAAAAAAAGGTACAAGTTGTCTCCTCTGGAGAGATTTGTGAACTAGGCTTATTGAGTGAAAACTTTGAGAGCTTATGTTTTCAATAAGAACCCTTTCAAGGTTCAGTATTAGCATTTTGTTTTTCGTCTTAATAAATGGAAGAACAATGCGATACGTTAAAGCTTCATGTTTTCCAAGTAGATTGGCTCCGCGTGACAGCAGCACAAACCTGAGCAGGCGCTGCGAGGATAAAGGTTTCTATGTATCAGAAGCATTTAAAAATGAGAGATCCTAAGATACCTAACCAGTGTAAGCTAGACTTGCCTGTCCTTTACAACCACCTTGGGATTCTTCTTAATTGGACATATTTTTGGAATCCCAATCTTGGGCAGGGCAGAGGACGATGTGGTTTTGTGTCTTTTTCGTGCTAAATTCTCCAGAAGATTCTGGAACTAGGGTCAGTGCTAGATTGGATGTGGTGTGAGAGAGAAAGAGGAATCAAAGATGGTTTCTTATTTATAATTTTAATTATTTTAGCCAGAAGTAAGTGATATACCATTTACCGAGATGGGATTAACAGAGCTGGGAAGCTTATTTGGGAACTACTAATGATGACCAAGACATTGAAGAAGGAGTATAGACAGGGACCGCTGAGAATTTGCAGGGGTTAAGTTCTACAGTGCAATTTGGGAGAACCTGAAGGCCCCAGGGTCCAGAATTCTCTTACCTTGTTACTTGCTAGTTAGTATCTGGAATTCTTCCATGAGGTTCATTCTTTGGTTTTCTTGCCTGTGATTTTCATGAAATATTTTCAGGGGAGGGAGGAGGAAGGGGAAGAGGAGTTATATCTAATTTACCCTAAAGAAACAAGTAATGCGTCAAGGTTGTAGTGTAAGGTTCATTCCCATGAATGTCCTGGGAAGAGAGGGAAGTGGAGTTGAGGGGCCTGGAAAGGGATGAATGGGTAGACAGAGCATGGTTACTGTGGTCTGAATGTTTGTGTCCCCTGTAATTCATGAGTTAAAACCTAATCCCGAGTGCAATAGCATTAAGAGGTAGGATGCTTAAGAGGATTAGGCCATGAGGGCAGAGCCCTTTAGTGCCTACAAAAAAGGAACTTTTGTAGTTCCTTTTATAGGCACTAAAGGGCTCTAGGGAGCTTTTTTGCGTCTTCTGCCATGTTTTAAGGACACAGCAAGAAGGTGCTATCTATGAGGAACAGCCCCTCACCAGACACTAAATCTGCCAGCACCTAGATCCTGGGCTTCCCAGCTTCCAGAACTACCAGCAGTAAATTTATATTGTTTATAAAGTACCCAATCTGAAGTATTTTGTTCTAGCAGCCCGAACAACTAACACGGTGGTGCTCCGGCATCTCAGGATTGGCTCCCGGTTGAGGCATCACTGCTATTGCTTGCAGGGATGAGACTGGTACAGCTGCTCTTACTAACTTCAGTGACCGTCATAGTGGGCTTAAGCAAGGTGCAGATTAGAGACTGAACACACTGGATTTCCACTACACCCTCTTAGGTACTGAGCCCAGCCCACTGGCCCAGCTGGACTCTTGTGACTCTTGTGGCACTCTGCTCCAGCCCTGACAGCATCTCTTATCACAGCTCTGGTGCTTCATAGGCCACCGTTCTGGTTCATGGTTCTTAGTTATGTGTGAGCTTGACTTTGTTCTCAGTCTAAAAGGTGTATTGAGTGAAATGCTGGTCTGGTGATGACTGTGAGCTACAGTTTGGTCTCTTAAGACTGGGAAATCTAGAAAATCCTCAGCAGTTTCCTAGGGCAAAAGAGTTGTGAGTTTTAATGCTACAGTTCATCTGTTTAAAGTGGTTTGTTGACTTTATCCAGATATTCTCAGTGGTTGGTTGTTACCTTTGTAAGGGAGTTGAAAGATTATATTACCCTGAGAACTGATGCCATAGTATCTGGGGTGTGATGCACTGAGCTTCAGAGACAGCAGCAAGACTTGGTTCTAATCACCGTGATTAATCCACATGTTTTCTCTGTATTAAAAAGCCCTGAGTGTGTCCTGCTTGGACCTTGGCCACTTTGGAGAACAAGAGTCATTTTTATCTACAGTTGTGTTGTGGGAAAGAAAAAAGTAAAGATATTATTATCAAGAACAATGTTTTTAAAATGTCTTGCTATTTTGGTGCTGCTGAATTTTAAGTTTCTGTATTTTATACACATTTTACTTGAAGTAAAACTAATGTGATGTGGTGTAGAATTCCAGGATGTAAGAGTCAAGATAGGTGGCTCTACCATGTACTAATGAGGGGAGGTCAGTTTTTAAAGAAATGAAGATAAAGGAAAATGCAAGGAAGAGACTCTACCATTTTAGAAAATAGACATACTTTCCCTCATCTTCCTACTAAGTACAATTTAAAATTCTGGACATTATACGTAAAACAAGCATAAGATGCTGAAAGTAGATAGAAAAAGGTAGACCAGCCAGGCACCTCAGGACCTGAGGAAGAATGCAGTGGTGATATGGGCTGAACCGTGTTGCCTTAAAATGTATGTTGAAGTCTTAACCCACAGGACCTCAGAATGTATCTATAGAAATTAGGCCTCTGAAGGTGATTATGTTAAAATAAGTTCTTTAGGGTGAGCCCTAATTCAATCTGACTGGTGTCCTTGTAAGAAGAGAAAATTTAGACACCGGAGATATGCATGCACAGAGAGAAGGCCATGTGAGAACGCAGCAAGAAAGCAGCCATCTCAGCCCACAAGAGAGGCCTTCGGAGAAACCAAACCTGTCGACACCTATTGATCTTGGACTTCTAGCTTCCAGAACTGTGAGCAAAAGGAATTTCTGTTGCTTAAGCCACCCAGTCTCTGGTATTTTGTCACGGCACTCCTAGCAAACTAGTACAAGTCGTGAGTTCCCTGGGTTTTCTTTTTGCCTTCTATATTGCTAGCCTTGGAGCTGGATAAGTTATTAACCAAAGAGTGCCAACAGACACAGTCAAAAACCCCAACAGAAACCTATTCACTGCTGCCAGCATACCAGAGAAAGAGCAACCTAGTAAAAAGGAAAACTTTTAAACAGAAATGGCTCTACTGTAGCCAAACACCACATGAAAAACACTACAGCCCTACCCCATCCCTTCCAGCAAAGACCACGTGAGGCCTGGAGCTCCACCCTCACCTAACTTTAACAAGATGCCTCAACCTGCCCCCACCCCCACTCTTTGCTCTGATGCTGTCAGCAAAGGCCTGTAGAGGCTTGGGACTAGAAGGCCTGAGCTGAGATTTGCATCTCCACTGGGTAGTATTGACCGCAACCCCATGGCATCAGCCGCCTAGTGGAGAGTCAGGGCTTTCAGCACTTTCAGTAATCAGCAATAATAAGGCAACCTCAGTAAAGGCCACATGGGGAACAGTAACAAGCTCCCCACCCCTGACAGCCTGAATGTTACCAGTGGAGGCCTGGAGGGAAACCTGGGCTTCCACCTGCTACCTGGCAGTAAAGAGGCAGGTTCCCCGCTTCACCCCCTGGAGCAGTCAGAGTAGGCCTGCTAAAATTCAAGATTTAAATCAGACCCAGAGTCTTACAGCACTCAGAACTGATGAGGTTTAAATTAAAAATTATTCACCACACCAGAAACCAAGAAGATCTCAAGGTAAATGAGAAAAGATAATCAACAGATGCCAGCACCAAGATCACATAGACATTAGAATTATCAGACAAATTAAGTTTTAAAGCAGCCATTGTAAAAATACTTCAATCAGCAATTATAAATATGGTTGAAACATGAATAGAAAATTTCAGCAAAGACAAGATACGAAGAACTACATGGAAATTTTAGAACTGAAAAAATAAATAAAAAGCCCTGTGGATAAGTTCAATAGCAGAGTGGAGAGAACAGAAGATATAACAATCAAAATTACCCAGTCTAAATAACAAATAGAAAACAGACTGACAAAATGAACAGAGCCTTGGAGATACATGGAACAAAGCATCTGTTGTGTCATTGGGATCCTAGAAAGAAGAAAAAGGATGGAGAAGAAAATTTAAGGAAGAAGAGCTGACAATTTCCCAAATTTGACCAAAAAAAAAAAAAAAAAATCAAAATGCTAAGTAACCACCAAAGAATATAAACCCAAAGAAATACATGCCAAGATATATCATGGTTAAACTGAAAATTAAAGGCAAAGACATGGTCCCTAAGGCTGCCAGAGCAGAATGACACCTTACCCCCAGGGGCAAAGCAATTAGAGTGGTAGCAGGTTTTTCAGTGGAAACCACTGAGGCCAGAAATAAGTGACACAAGTGCTGAAAGAAAACTGTCAATTCAGAATTCTATATCCAGCAAAAATGTCCTTCAAGAATGAAGAGGAAATCAAGACATTCTCAGATGAAGGAAAATTATGAGAAATGTAAATGAGCAGACCTTTAAAATAACGACAGTTATCTAAACAGGAATCAAGGAATCTTGTGGCATCAAGCAAGAAGAAAGAACATAGAATGAAAATATCAATAAATGCAACAGGCTTTCCTTTTCCTTGTAAGTTTTCTAAATTATGTTTGACGTTTGAAGCAAAAATTGTAACATTCTCATGTGGCTGTCTATGTAAAGGAAATAGTCAACTATATTATTACATATCAGAAGGTAAAGGGAGGTAGCATTTCTACACTTCACCCAAATAGGCAAAAGTTGACACTAGTAGATTTCTGGTAAGTTATATGTAATGTAATACCTAGAGCAACCAGCAAAAAAAGCTATACAAAGAAATGTACTCAAATGCACAAATAGAATGCTTAAAAAAAAAAAAAAGTACAACCTTCAGGAAGGCAGGGAGGAGAAAATGAAAACTATAAAACAAAGTAAAATGGCAGATTTAAACTTTAACACAACAATAATTGCATTAAGTGTAAATGGTCTCAACACCAATTAAGAGATTGGCAGAGTGTATTTTTAAATGGCCCAACTATATGCTATGAGAAACTTCAGTTAAAACAGTATATGTAGGTTGAAAGTAAAAGGATAGAAAAAAATATACTATGCAAAAATCAGGAAAGCAGGAGTGACTACATTAATATTAAATAATATACATTTCTGAAGAAAAAGAAAAAAAATTGCAAAGGTCAGAGAGGAGCATGACGTTATAATAAAACGATCAGTCCACCCAAAAGATCCAGCAGTCATAACAGTGTGTGCAGCAATAACACAGCTGCAAAATTTGTGAGGCAAAAACTGGTAGACCTCAGAGGAGAAATAGATAACCCAAAATTATAGTTGGATACTTAAGCACCATTCTCAACAATTTATAGGGTAACTATACAGGAAATCAGCAAGGATATTGAACTCAACATCTACCAACAGGATCTAATTTGCATTTATAGGACACTTCACAGAACAGTAGCAGAATACACATTTTCAAGTGCCCACTGAACATATACCAAGGTAGAACATGCCCTGGTCGTAAAACAACTTCAACACATTTAAAAGAACTGGAATAAAACTGAGGGACCACAATGGGGTCAAACTAGAAATCAGTGACAGAAAGATAACGGGAAAATATCCTAACACTTGGAAACAGTGCAGCATACTTCTGAATAAGCCACGAGCCAAAGAGAGAGTCTCAATAATAATAATCGTTGAAAATATATTGAACTGAATAAAAATGTCAAAATTTGTGAGATGCAGCTAAAGTTGTGCTGAAAAGAAAATTTGTAGCACTAAAATTCCAGTATCAGTAGAGGAAAAAAAATTTCAATAATTTGAGCTTCTACTTCAAGAAATTTAGATGAAGAGCCAAGTAAGCCCAAAGCAAGCAGAAAGAAGGAAATAATAAGTGCAGAAATCAGTATTGAAAACAAAAAGCAACTGAGAATATCAATGAAGCAAATTACTGCTCCTTAAATAATAAAAGCCACAAACATTAAAAGACTGACAAAACAGAAGACACCATTCATGGGAATGAAACAAGGGATGTCACTTAATAGACATTGAAAAGATAACTAGGAAATACTAGCTACAACTCTGTGTACATAAATTTGAAAACTCAGATGAAATGGGCAAATTCCTAGGAAACGTATCCTAGGAAATTCCCAGTATGAAATTTGTAATTTGAATAGCTTATTTAATGACTTAATTCATAGTTTAAAATATGAAGGAAAAAAAAAATCTCCAGGCCCTGAAAGATTGGAGAATTCTGCCAAACATTTAAAGAATTCACACCAATTCTATACAATCTCTCCCAGAAACTAGAAGAGAAAGGACATTACCCAACTCTTTTTATAAAGCCAATAATACACCCTGATACTAAAACCAAAGAGTACAAGAGAATACAGACCACTATTCCAAATTCATTCAGATGCAAACAGTTGTAATAAAATGTTAGCAAATTGAATACAGGAGTATATAAACGGAATTACTACCAAGTGGGGACTATTCATGGGATGCAAGGACTAGCTCAATATTTGAAAATCTTTATAAAAAATCTCATGATCATAGCACATAATGCTGAATCACATTAAATATTTCACCTGTATCATTTATGCCTGTTGTCTATCTGACAAAGCTTGAATTTGAAAGATTATGTTTAAATAAAGGGAGGAAAACTTAAAAGGCATTGGAAAGGACTAAGGAATCAGTAATAATCACTAAAAATGGAATTTTGTTCATTCAGTGTTAAAAGCTTGTCATTGAAAATATATATGGGTGAAGGTGATAACACCTGATTTTCCCGCTTTGAAAGGTGATAGGTTGCAGTGATGTAATATGCAAATGTGAGGCAGAAATGGTGATACAGTGTTTCTTCACTGCTTCCCGGAACAACGGTGCCTGAGCATGCTGGGCAGCTGGAGAGGTCACTGTGGACAGTTAACCGTGCTCTTTATTCCCAACTTCATGATCAAATGGCAGGAGGCAAAATCCATCTGTTAGTGCCGGAAGGACCCACTCAATGGGGTTCCTCTCTGCATTTGGGCTTCTTCAGTAATAGATGCTTACCATGTCCCAGTTTATTTTCACAAAATTTGTTTCTCAGCAAGAAGAGAAAGGGATCTCGAAATCACAAAAGAGTAAGATGAGAGAACTCAATTTAAAAACAGAAGCAGCAGCAAAGCACGAAATCACATCAAAGGCACAACACATCATTTGCAGTGGAGTCTGACTTACTTGCTTCATAGATGCTACAATTGCTGCTTGCGTGGGCTTCTCCTTGGTGCCATTTTAACCCTGTAGAGGTGCAATGACATAGTAGTGTGCTTTTCTTTCTCCAGGTCATCTTATGTTAGGTGTATTAGGCAAGGGCAGAAAAAAAAGGTACCTCATTGGAATGAGACAACTCTTTATAAATCCCAATTCCCGACTGTACTTACCTGTTTCCCTGTTCGCTGCAGTAACCTGACAGGAGAAGCAGGGTAGATCAGGAAACTGCTAGAAAAGCATCGGCCTGGTTTATAGGCAAGTCAGCTGCCTTCCCAGAGCCTTAGCCTGAGGGGGGCGGTGGATTTCCTGTATCTAGCCTTGCCACCACTCCTTGTGTTTGTACACTACTAATTTTATTTTAGTGGAAATTTCAGAGGAATCAGGGACTAGATCTCTTCCTAAAGGCTCAGCAGGGATAGAGCAGTGAGTGGCTGTTGTACTTGAAAATCACCATTGGGTATCCCATTGGCTTCAGACTTTAAGAAACTTTCATCTTCAAACGCAGGAATTTCTATAAACAGTTTTTACAACTGTTCACTCGCCCTGCTGGAAGCACTTAGCTTTGTGAAGCGCCCGTTCCATTATCAGAATTCTGAGCAAAAACTGGCTTCACTGAGCAGCCACTCATGGGGCCTGGTTGTGCCCTTGGGGCTCTCCAAGAACAAGACAAAGACTTTCCTCTTGACAGCCCTTCAGATGTTTGAAGATGAGCAGTCAGGCCACTCCTTGGACTCTGCTCTTCTAGGCTTGACGTCCCCAGCATGGGTTGTCTGGGACTCAGTCTTCTCTTTAAAAAGATGGGGGTAGGGATAGCAATGCCTGTTCACACACCATCTTTCTGTCTTTAATCTGTAGCTCTTGGTCTGTATATTACAGTAGGGGTTCTTGTCCTCTGTTGAAGAATCAGCTTTATATAAAATGTCTCTGGTTTACGAAATCCTGGCGAGTAATTCTGATCCACAGAAGAAGACAGTGCTGCTTGTTAAAAACGGGCCCTTAGGGGAGCAGGGGATATGATTTGAAAAGCTCATAGCCAAGGGTCTCTGGCCAACTTAAACAAACTGCTGGGCACTGTGGCTCACACCTTTGATCCCAGTACTTTGGAGGTTGAGGCACGAGGATTGCTTGAGACCAGGAGTTCAAGACCAGCCTGGTCAACATAGCAAGAGCCTGTCTGTACAAAAAAATAAATTATCTGGGCATGGTGGCACACCCCTGTAGTCTCAGCTGCTCAGGAGACTGAGGTAGAAGGATGGCTTGAGCCCAGGAGTTCGAGCCTGCAGTGAACCATGATCACACCACTGCACTTCAGCCTGTGTGACAGAGTGAGACCCTGTCTCAAAAATAAAATAAAAAAAAAAATAATAAACAAGCTTCACACCTGACAGGATTGAAATCTCACCTGTAGTCACAGCACACTGCTGTTCACAGGTAGCTAGCTGCAAGGGCAGTGGTTGAGTGGGAGAAAATGTTAGTTTGCTGTTGCCAAGCCAGGTATAGGTTCAAGAAACTCCAGGCCCAAGAGGCATACTTGGGAGGGAGTAGGTGAGACCCTGCTGTGGTGGGGCATAAATAAGCTAATGGGTGGTGGGGACAAGGGAGAGGAATAATGTCGTTTGGGAAAGACCTCCACATCTGAGTCATAACCCCTCCTCTGTTCCTAACTCACCTTGTATCCCAGGAGCTGTCCGTCATTCAGCCTCTCTGGCCATCATCTTCTTCATATGTAAAAATGAGACTAGATCCATTTTTCCCTTCCTTGGTGTGGTCGGGATCCATTCGACACGTATTAAAGCTCAGTTACTCTGATGGGCTCTGTACTAGGCTCTGAGGGTTTTATAGTGAGCAAAAACAGGCGTGAGCTTTTCCTGGGGTTCAGAGTCTAGCAGGGTTGGCTGAAGTGCAGAGCAAGGGGGATTGAAAACAGGAATAT